GGGGGGAACTGTGTGCACCATGGGCCAGGGACACAAGGCAGACCAATGCAGCACAGAAGTATAAATCAAGAGGCTGCGTCCATTCATTCATTCATTCCTGCGGATGCCATGCGGAAGCGCTGCCTAGCAGCTTGTGCGAGGAGGTCTGCAGAGTGCCCGAAGACGAAGTGGGCGGAGGAGTAGAGTGCAGCGATAGGTAGTGGCAGCTAGCGCTGCCATAGCTGTAGCCTAGCATGTGTGTGTGTGAAGYGTGATACTGAGTGTTGCGTGTGGGACATCCAGGGTGATCCAGAGTGCGAACAGTGAGTTGTGTGGGCACTCAGTCGCCATAGCCAGTTTGAAGAGAACTCTTATGTGGATACGATATCTTGAGTACTGAGTGGGCGCCTGTCGCCAATTTGCTGTTTCGCTGTTTGCATACATGACAAGTTGAATAATCGTAGTGTGATTTCACCATGCTATGGCCGCCTCTTCCTCCCTTCATCATCATAGGCCGAGGCTATGGCGGACTACTAGGCCTTGCCCAGATGCCCAAAGGACAACCCAAAGCAGCTATGGCTGCTCCACTCAGGCTTCCATGCCCAACTCTGCCTTGAAGCTTCTTGGTGTGGCTCTCCCCAGTTGGAGACTCCCTGCTGCAGCGCCCACCATAGCCAGGTAAGTACCCCTGGCGCTCCTCCCCCTCCTGTCCTTCTTCCTCCTCCTGCCCTTCTCCTTCCCCCAGCAGCGCTACTCCTGGATAGCGCTGCTCCAACCGGCTCTCCAACCAGTGTGTCGCCAAACTTGCACACCGAGAATGAGGCCGGGCTCTTCGCCCGGCTGGGAGATATAGCGGCCTGCTTGCCTCTTTGGGCGGTGACTTCCAGGCCGCTCGACCTTCCAAGCAACCGGTACCTCCTCCCTGTCGGACGGAAACATCATTGCAGATTCTGATATTGCCCGTACAGTAGAGCCAGACTGGTTGGACTGGTACCCGCCTCGACCTAACCTACAACTACTGGGCCTCTGAAAATGCCACTTTTGTCTTCGTCTGCTCGGCCTCCAGTACCCGCACATCTACCTCTTCAGGGTGCGGTACCGGCCTACCCGCTACTTGAGTGTTTTTCCCGCTGCAATCCCTCAATGTCACCGCCACAGGTAAGTACCGGCCCTGAGGGCCCAATGAACGAGCAAGTGCCCTTGCGGGCCACACACACACTCAAGCCAACCAGCACTCAGACAGGCACGGCCACACACACACTCAAGCCAGCCAGCACTCAGACAAGCACGGCCACACACACACTCAAGCCAACCAGCACTCAGACAGGCACGGCCACACACACACTCAAGCCAACCAGCACTCTAGACAGACATGCAGTCCAGCAAGTGTGCACACACAGACTTAGTAGCAGGCGGGAAACTCAGCAAGGCATTCAGTCTATGGGCAAAACTCAGAAATAAGTCGTGTGTTTCAGTCCATGTTTGGACGGGTCATCACAGGTCTGTGCTTCGCAGATGAAGATATCTTCCGCCATCTGCTCCAGATTTCGGTCTCCGCCATGTTTAGCAGAAGAGCCCACATTTCCGCCTTAGCCACCTCTGCTCCCTCGATTGTCCGTGTGTATCTGCGTTTCCATATGACACAGAGTGCCAGTTTTCTGAGTAGACGGAACCAGACTTCCCTGCTGCCATTGAGGTCCCGGGAGTGATAGATAGGAGTAGAACAGTTAGAGGGGTGGTGGTGCTGAAAAGAGCAAAGACCATAGCTTCTGGACTTTGTTCCAGATCCAGGTCGCTTCTGGACAGAAGAGAAGGGAATGGGGGATGTCTTCAGGTGTGTTGTTATTGCACAGAACAAAGAGTTCAGAGCTGTCTGGGTCCGGGTGTTTCCTTCTTTTGTGGAGTCATTGATTGACCCGGAGAGCTGCGTGTGCGAGGCGCCATTGCACGCTACGGATTCTCACAGGCCTGATAAGGAGGCATTTGGTCCAAGGAATGGTGGGTGGGGTCGAAGGGTCTAGATTCAAAATGTTCTGCCATTTCTCTATCAGCCCTGGGTTCGGATCTATAGTTTGCAGCCCGAGATTGTAGCCGAATTTCACGTCAAACTGAGAAATCGTTCTTGATTTCCCTTTGGCACCCTGCTTTCATATCCATTCCTTAGGGCCAAATTCCAGGTCTCTGATGCCGAGCTCTGGCTGGAATATGATCCATGGTCTGTTCTGGGAGACTCTGACCTTCCTGAGKAGGAAGGTTTCTAGCCACGAAGCTTGGGGAACCTCATTCTGGATTTCCTGCAACCCTGTCTGTCATGGCCACAAGCTTGGGGAACCTCATTCTGGATTTCCTGCAACCCTGTCTGTCATGGCCACA